CATCCCTCCTCTGCCCCTTCTACTAGTCTTGAGGTGCTTTCTTCTTTACTTCTCTAATTGTAGGACTTCTATTCAGTCGGATTTCAGTGGTTTGAATGATGGTTGTTCTGTATCTTACTTGTAATTTTGATGTTGTGGGAGTCGGCAAGGACCACGTTTACCTACACCACCATCTTGGTTTTCCATGCATACAAGTCTTTATGGAGACATATGTCATCCTCTCTTGGGCAAGGATTGCTGGGTCATGTGCTTGGTGTATTGGCTTGGACATGCCCAGGGGAGGCCAATGAGAAGCTGCCAAGATATTTTTACAAGTAGTGTTCCCACCAACCATGTGTGAGCATTCCAGTCGCCCTGCAGGCTTGCCAACACTTGGTGTTGTCAGTTTATTTCATCGTTGCCATTCTTGTGCGTAGGCTGTGGTATCTCTTTGTAGTCTTAATTTGTGTTTAGCTAATGACTAGTGTGCCTATGAGCCATTCCTATTATCTTCCTTCATGAAGTGTCTGTTCAAATCCTTTGCCCGTTTTCCTCTTGGGTTGTTGGTCCTACTGTTACTAAATTTGATGGGTGCCTTTGAAACCCACAGTATGCCCTCCCAAGTGCGCTGGCTTCAGAGGCAGCGTGAAGCTGTGTTTAGGAACACAGGCTTTAGTAGACCATCTGAGCGTGGACCTAGGGAGGAAGGGCAGGCGTGGGGAGCCATTGTAACAGGAGAGTCCGCAGCTGACTGGGAGGCAGGCCCAGGTCCTTGAGCAACTTGTTCTAATCTTAGAAGTTATGCCTCAGCTTTCTGCTGTGGCCTGAAGGACAAGCATCCCAGACCTCAGGGCACAGATAGTCACTCCCACTCAGGAAGCAGGAATGGCCCTAGTGACGGGGATTCCCCCGGGGCCTCCGGGCAGCCCTGGTGCAGTGGCTCCCTGGGCCCAGCCCACCCCTCGGACTCACAGGGGCTTCAGTGATACCAGGTTTCTTATGGGACTGGCCTACGTGAGAGGAGCACATGACAGGGAGCCCTAAACTTACCCTGAAGAGCAATGGAGGGTCGGTTTACCTGCTGGCCTCAGAGCCAACCCGTCTCCATCACCCACCAGCCACACAGAGGCACCTTCCACTTTCCACATTCTCCTCTTCCCTGCCCCCCTCCCCCCCCAAAAAAAGCCAAGCTCAGCTGGTGTGCTCAGTGGTTGAGCATAGGCCTATGAATCAGGTCACATGTCAGGGCACATGCCCAAGTTGTGGGCTCAATCCCCAGTAGGGGGTGTGCAGGAGGCAGCCGATCAATGATTCTCTCTCATCATTGATGTTTCTATCTCTTTCCCTCTCCCTTCCTCTCTGAAATCAATAAAAATATATTTTAAAACAAATTTTAAAAAGCCGAGCTGTTCAGAGGCTGCCTGACTGACCAGGCTGACTTGACCCGCCCCTCCGCCTCTGCGCACCATGGGTGGGAGGAGGGAGGAGGAGAGAAAAGCAGGGCGAGCAGCCCAGCCCAGCGGCGTGGTGGTGGCGCACCCAGCAGGCCCTCCAGCTCCATGCGGCCTTGCTCCTGACCTGTGCTGAGGCTCATCCTGGTTTTTTCTGCACTTCAATCCCAAGCAGGTGCTTCGGGGTCCATCCTGGGCCCTCTGCTCCGTCCACTCGGTGAGGACTTTCCACACCCTGGGCTTTGGGTGAAATACTTGATGGGCCTCTTAGGAACAGGGAAAGAATGCTGAGTCCTGGGGAAGCTCAGGGTCCCAGGAATGTCTGGGGCAAGGCGGGACACCAGAGTCCTTCTCAGAACTAGGAGCACAGCCCCCGTGAGAGCAGTGCTTAGCAAACCAGTCTCGGGACTGAGCGAGCTACCAGCACCTCAGCTCGCCAGCCTGGGGCCAGGGTGGGGTGTCCTGGGACCTGGGGCCCAGGTGGGGTGTCCTGGGACCCTGGGGGTTAGAAGTCACACCTGCAGGAACTGCAAGGCAGAAATCCAGGCAGAGACACACACAAGCTGAGCCCTGCCTCCCCCGCAAAGGCTTCTCCCACTGTGCCAGGCAACCCAGCGGCTATAGCTCCACTAGTTGTATAGCACTTAACCGTTTGCAAAGCACCTTCAGCAATTACACTACAGTGGGGCCTTGACTTATGAGTTTAATTCGTTCTGAGACCGTTAAGGAGCTCTTTAACTCAAATTACTCTGTCAACTCAATGCAAAAAATCAGCCGAGAGACAGCTGGTATCTCAAAAAACTCGTTAGTTGGGACACTGGTAAGTCAAGGCCCCACTGTACTTAACTGGTATGCATTGCTAGGCTATCAGGGGTTGAAGTCAATTATTTCATAGGTTATTCCGTTTGGCTTTCCTGTGTGACTCTGCCTAAGTTACTTGCCCTCTCTGGGCTGCAGTGAGCCCAGCTGTGAGAGGGCAATACTAGTCCTCCACACAATGACCGAGAAGGGTCTGGAGAGTGGACTTGCTCGGCTCCAGCCAGCTCTGGAATCTGCAGGCATTCTAAAGGAAGCCCATTCACTGGGCTCCAGGAAAGCACACTCGGACGAACTGTACTCTTTCTTTCTTTAAGCCCTAAATGCTTCCAGAAGCCTCTCGTTCCCTCGCCTCCGAGCCCCTTGCCCAGCCCCATTCGGGACAGGGAAGTCCGGGAGGCCTTTGATCCCTGCGCGGCTCTATTTTTGTCTGGAATGTGTCTCCCTGCGCCGCAGCCGTGGGCGCCTCGAGCCGAGGTGAAGTGCACGGTCAGCAGGACCCGAGCAATAAATAGCAGCGGACAGAGAGACGGATCCGCGATGTGGGCAGGAAGTTAGACAGATGCACAGACCGATCGGCGCTGTGCCAGGAGCGGCTCAGTGAGTCTCACCGTCCCTCAAGCTGCCCTTGTTCCAGGACAAGACGTTTGCCTCCTGGCGCTACTAACGCGGGAGTGTGCTCACCGGTGCGGTCCCGTGAGCTCTGCCCGCCAGGCCCCACCCCAGGCCCGGGACACCCCGCCTTCAGTGTTATGGGGAACTCCGGTGTCTTCGCTGGAGGGGACTCCCTTTGGTCGAGTTTGCTGTTCAGGCTGGGAGGGGTGAACTTGCACTAGAGCAGGACACAGGAAGAGGACCATCTCTCTCCAGAGCCTGTTCCCAGGTCTGACAGCCTGTGGCCCCGCAGTTTCTCCCCATCTCGAAACAAGCCTTCTTCGCAGAGCTCGGTCCGTGTCCTTAGCATCACGGCGGGAGGTTAGTGGGGTCGCATCTGCTCCTCCCGCTCCAAGGCGGCAGCACCATAGCAGGACCCCTCACATTCACTTTGGAGGGACACCCAGACCAGAAAGAGTGGAGATGCTCTTAGCATAAAAGGAGGGCCTAGGGCAGTGATGGCGAACCTCTTGAGCTCGGCGTGTCAGCATTTTGAAAAACCCTAACTTAACTCTGGTGCCGTGTCACATATAGAAATGTTTTGATATTTGCAACCATAGTAAAACAAAGACTTATATTTTTGATATTTATTTTATATATTTAAATGCCATTTAACAAAGAAAAATCAACCAAAAAAATGAGTTCGCATGTCAGAGATTCGCCATCACTGGCCTAGGGAGTGTGTGTGTGTGCTTATGTGTGCGTGTGTGTGTGCATGCATGTATGTGTGCATCTCTGTGTGCATATGTGTGCATGCATGTGTGTATGTTGAATGTGTATCTGTGTGTGTGCCTGTGTGCACGTGTGTGTGCGTGTGTGTGCGGTACACAGGGAGGCAGACCTGCTGCTGGAGGGACAGCCTGCCCAGGGAGGGGAAGATAGAGCTGGACCAAACCCTGTGTCTGGGCAGCAGCTTGCCCGGAGAGGGAGTCTGAAGTCTGTGCAGTAAATGCCATCGTCCTGGTCACAACAACAAAGGCCTAATGTCTCTGAGACCAGACGTTTAAAAACATGATTAAAACCAGGTGGTTATGTGAGCCGCGTGTGACCTCACAGACGTGGGGTGGCCATTTCCAGCGCTCGCTGACTCACCCATGTGTCTGTGACAAATGGCCCACGGGAGTGAGCGGAGGCCAGGGTGCATCTTGGCCTCTTCAGGGAGCCTGCAGGCCCCTTTGGGGGGACGGTCACTGTAACCCGATGACCTCCCTGGAGGCAGAGCAGGGCAGGGACCAGCCTACTCCTTCCACGAAAAGGAACATGGTGGTGGTGGTGGTGGGTGTGAGTCTCCCAGTGAGGACTCTGTGGAGGGAGTGACATTGCATGCTACCCCACCGGCCTTGCTGAGGGCTCCGGGAAGGGCCCCGTCTCCCGAAGTGGTGACAACCCTTCTAGAGGCCTGTCCTGCACTTTCCGTAGGAAAGCATTTCATCCACAGACCTTCCGGGGGCTGCGCTGCCACTGTCCTTGTCACTAAAGGCCTTGCCCGCAGCCACTGAGCTAGCAGCACCCAGGACAGCTCATGGTCGAGTCCAGCAGACAGGGCCTCCTCCGCCAGGCTGCCTGTGCTCGTGCTGTGCGTCGTGCTGTGCGTTTATTAATTTGACAAATAGTTACTGAGCACGTCACCATCCGCACACCTGGTGACGTGAGGGGATGAGGTCATACATGCGTGGGAAGCTCAGCGAGGCCACCGGTCAACCGTTTCATACACTTAAAGGCCCCTCTCTCCAGTGCCTGCCACCAGCTCCCTGTGGCCAGTGCTGTCAGTAATACAACAGAATGAAGGCCCGTCTGCCTCCCAGACCCCTGGGCTCCTCCAGGACAGGGCCCGGCTGTATTTCCCTCAGCTCCCCAGGGCCACCCAGGGCCCAGCACATCGTAAACATTCACTACATGTGGCAGATTGAGAGTCGCTGTTGTTTTAATCTTTGCATGTAGGAGCCAATTGCAAAATGCAGTTCAAAGATCTCATGGTCACCACCTCTGGCTGTGGCCACAGAACAGGTGCCGGCATGGCCCTGACATGGCCCCAGCGTGGGTGCTGAGCTGAGCCAGTGCCCGGCTCCCATTAACTGCCGCTTCCCCTTGTTTTGCCAGGAAAGACCCGCAGAGACCAACGCCAATGTGGACAACTCGGCGTCCCCCTCAGTGGCCCAGCTGGCCGGGCGGTTCAGGGAGCAGGCGGCAGCAGCAGCAAAGGAGGTGAGTCAGGCGGCTCGCAGGCTGCTCTGGGAGGGGGCTGGCGGAAGGGGAAGTCTGGGTCAGGCCAGAGGAGAGGGAGGGAGGGAGGAAGCGTGGTAATTACCAAATTAGGAAGAGAAGCCACAGAGGGTCCCCTGCATGTGAGGAATGTCATGGCCACTGCTGGGCCAGGCAGGATCTCCCAGCAGCGAGGCCTCCACTCAGGGCAGGGGGAGCGGGGCCAGAGCCACCCGCCGCCGGCCAGCGGAGGTGGGGTCTGGGTCCCGGCCGCCTCCATCACCCACTGATAGAGACCTAGTCGTGCCGGCTGTGCCAGGCCTAGGCTGGTCAGAATAAAGACCTCCCCGCTGGCTCCAGGCAGGAGCTTAGGAATCTCAGTGAGGAAGCAGGAAACCAGGGTCGGGAAAGGGAAGGGACCCAGTGGCCAATGGGTTCTAGAAGGATCCTGCTGGAGAGGACAGTGTGAAAAAGTGTCGTCAGGTGGAGATTCACAGTAGGGTTTCCTGAGCGCCGGTCTCACGTGCTCGCTGGAAGGGGAAGGGCACCCGAGTGGGCGGTTCACAGGCCCCTGGGGCCAGCGAGGCTGTTTCAGGCGCATTTATTTTGCGCTTTTGTTTTCTGGTCTGAGAAAGCCGTCCATCGTTTCTAGACACATGGGATGGCATAAAGGGCAAGGAAGGTGGTGTTGGTCAGAGGTGCTGGCGGTGCCTGGAGCTGGGCGTGGGTGTGGTTTGGGGACATTTCAGGCCAGTGGCTGCAGCAGGCGAGGGTCCCGCAGCCTGGAGGGAACGGGAGCCGGGGCTGCCTGCGTGTGGGTGGCGGGGAAGCGGAGTTCACTGACCCAGCTAATGCCAGTCTCAAGGACACACCACCCCTGCCACCATCCTTTCCTCCTCCCTAACATCCCTGAAGCCGCTTCCACGTCCTCCTCCTCCCTGTTGCCTGACTCGCTCTCTCTCTGTGTGTCCGTCCATCACTCTCCCGCCCTCCAGGTGCCAGCCAGTAAGCCTGCCAGGAGGAAACCGCCCTGCTCCCTCCCCCTGTTCCCCCCCAAGGTAGAGCTGGGCCAGAACGGAGAGGAGGTAAGTGCTGGGAGCCGCTGAGTATGTTTTCTTCCTCCTTCTCATAGGAAGGGGGCAACATCATCACCCCGACACCTGTGCAGGCCAGGACCCCCTTGTGGACTCAGGGATGAACTTCCTGCACCCTTGTCTGACAATGAGGCTTGGTCCATGCCCCGCTACTGAGCCTTGTTTGTGATGGGTCAGGGGCAGGGATGCTGTTTTTCAAGCCTGGGAATTTCAGCGGAGAGCAGGCCCTGTGGTTTCACCCCTCCCCCACCCCATCCAAGGGCCCCGAGAGTCATGCTTGCCCCCCAGGTCTGACCTACACGGTCTCCCATGCAGAGACGCGCCTGGAGGGAGGGCTGTGCTTAACCTCAGGCAGAACTGTACCGTGGGAATCACGACAGGCCACTGCTCTGGACCATTGAAGCAACCCAGCGCGCACAGGGGGCTCGCTGCCTTCAGAGAGAAATCGCCCACGTTACCAACACAGGAGAGGCCCTGGTGTCATAGGTCACGCCAGCGATGGAGGCCCAGGCAGGAAGGCAGGACCCAGTCGGCCCCTCGGTTCCTAGTGTGCAGTGCAGAAAGGGTCTCCCACCTCTCGCACCCCTGCCTCTCCCTGTGCCTGCACAGGCCTGAGACCCTGGGGTTACCCCTCCCGGGAAGGCACAGCCAAAGGGTGTCCTAATGTGGCCACAGGGGGTGCCTTGTCTGCCCAGAGAAGGGCTGAAAACACTTCCGTCTGAATAATCAGGCTCCTAACTTCTAGACGTCACTAGAATGTCCTATATGGACATAGAAACACCCATATTGAGGGTGGACCCTGGCTCTTCTCCACCACCACCTCCCCTCACCTCCCTTCCCCAACCACTTGCCTGGAGCTGCTTAAGTGGTAAAGGAAATGCTGCCCCCTGCTGCCGTTCGCAGGAACTGCATTGGTAGCAGATGTATTCCTAGAGCTGTCTTTCAAGGGCACTTGGGTCTTGCATTAGCGGCTATTTAGAATCCTGCTTTGCAGTTCAATTCAAATCAACAAGGATTTCATGGATCCTGAGCTGGGTTCCCAGGCCTGTGCTATGGCAAAGGGGCCGGGTTTATTAAATTTCCACTCTCTTCAGAACGTAGTGGTCGGCTGGGGAGAAGGGTTCACAGTACGACGTAAGGGAAGCTTTGTCAGCAGCATCGTAGCTGCCCTTTTTACAACAGCATCTTCAGAAACACCAGTTCCTGGGAAATGTCACCTTAAAGCACAGAGATTAGGGACAACCCAGCCTGGGCTGGAAGCTCTTGTGCTCACCATGGACACGAGTTCCTTGAAAGACCGCTCTAGGAATACATCTGAGTGTGAACTCACGGGCCAGGGGCACCCTGGAGCTGGAGGGTGGGGCCCTTAGACTCCACCTGCTCCTGGGCCCTGGCGGAGGAGGCCGAGGCAGGGCAGCTCCAGTCTGAAGCCGAATGAGAAGGGGTGGGGGCTCTTGGGTCCCGGCCAGTGACTGTTCCTCGCAGCCCCTCCCCTGAGTGCTGGGCCTTACAAAGGTCCCAGGAGCTCAGAGTCCATCTCCTCCTTCCTTCGCTGAAATACAGCCACTTCACTCAGAACAGACCTCAGAACATTCTAGGCACTGGTGTTATTCTTCCCATGATGCAGGAAAATTAGAACTTGGGGCGAGGGATAGGGACTAGGTGTTGGGCCCCCTATAGCTGCCTCGGCCTCTGTCCAACAACATGAAGTGTCTCCTCCTCCTCCTCCTTCCTTCATTTTTCTTCTTCATCATCATCGCCATCATTCCTACATGTGAGGATGAATATATCTGTGGAGCCAGACTCAGTTGTAGGGATTTTGCACAAAACAGAAAGGAGTTCATCTTTTTGGATAACATCAAATCAAAGCAAGATAAGATTTCTACATCCATTCATCGCAAAAATATCTTCACCTAACAGAGTGCAACTTCATGCAACCAGCATAAAGCCTGGAACGTGGTAGATGCTCCATAAATGTCTGTTCATCAAAATGAATATTCAGTGCTTTGGAAAATGATAATTTTTTTGTGGGATTTTCCAAATACCACTAGTTCAAGGGGGGAATTTCCAAAATACCTGTCAGGTTTCACTCCTGGTCAGTGGTTTCTTGTTTTGTTTGTGACCAACGGAACGGGGTCATTTTGTCCTTTCTCTCTGAAATTCCCTCCGAGTGTTGTTGAAGGTCATGAGAAGTCCCCTCTCAGGCACCGTCTGTTCCCTCGAAATGAACATGAGATCATCTTGCTGGTACAGGAGACCTCCTGTATTTTGGGCGTCTGTCCTGCCTGCTCTGATCCTGCTCGGGGAGAGATGGGGTGGGGGGAAGTCCGCCTCACTAGGCCCTGGGGAGGAATGTGGGCCTCCAAAGCGGAGTGAATCCAACTCCTCCTCCTCCACCTGTGGCTTCTGGGCTCCCAGAACCCCGCCTCCCTCCACCCGACTCATTCAGTTGTTTCGGTCCGTTTGCTCTGCAGAAATCACCACCCAACACCAGCCACCTTCCCAAGGTGAAGGTGAAGAGCTCGCCTCTGATCGAGAAGCTTCAGGTGAGTGCGGCGCCCTCTTCCCCAACATCTGCATGTCCCTGTGTGACCTGGAGAGTTGACCTCCGACCACCAGCTAGTGACCAAATTGCCCTGGAGGACAAGGGCTCCACCTGGAGCCAAAGGGCCAAAACGAGGTCCCTGTCAGGCATGCGCTCCGGTAGCTGACACCTAGCCGTGCTGATGGAGAATGGAGCGCCGCAAGGGTCCTCCGGGAAAAGGGCATGACAGTGCAGGACACACTCCCAGAACCGCCGGGCCCTGTCCCCCAAGGCCTGGAGGCAGCCACCAGCCATGCCAGCCTAACACAGGCTGCAATTCGGCTGCTGGCCCTGGGATGCCCGGCCCCTCCACCCATCACAGTGCGCCCAGAGCCGAGCAGACTTCCCTGGGAAGTAGATAAAGCTCACGTCGGGGCAGTGGAGCTCACAGCCTTGTTGGGAGACAAGATTTTCCCATGCGATACAGCAAAGCCGTGTAGGAGCGTAAATACCAGAGCTCTCCATTGTGACTGCCTGGCTCCTCCTGCCTAGACCAGGGTTCCCCTCCGTGGCATTGCCTGGGCTGGGTCCTTTCCTTGCGTGGGCGGGGCTGCCTTGTGCATTGGAAGATGTTCAGCAGCGTCCCTGGTCCCTTCCCACGAGGTGCCAGGAGCACTTTCCCGCAAGTGGTGACAACAAAAAATGTCTCCAGACATTGCCAATGACCTCCTGGGCACAGAATCGCCCACCCCACCCCAGGTGCCCCACCACTCTAGAACTCTGGAGCTATGCAAGGCCAGGTAACCAAAGAGCTAGAGCAGAAACTCACCTTCTCCTGCCCCGATTTGAAATGTCTCATCTCCTCCCAACAGGCCAACCTAGCCTTCGACCCCGCCGCCCTGCTGCCTGGGGCCTCACCCAAGAGCCCTGGACTCAAGGCTGCGGTGTCACCATTTCACAGCCCACCTTCCACGCCCAGCAGCCCCGGCGTGCGGTCTCGGGCCAGCGAGCCAGAGGAGGTGCCCATCAGCTTCGACCAGCCTCCGGAGGGCAGCCACCTGCCCTGTTACAACAAGGTACCGCCTGGGTCCGGAGTCTGTGGTCTGTCTGTGGAAACGTGGGCACTGGACGTTCCTGAACCAGGTCTACCCTGTGGTTGCCCCGGAGAGAGGAGGGCACATTGGAGCCGTGGTCAGGACTGGTTATCACAGGAGGAAACGTCCTTGAGCCGGGGTCAGCCCTCTCCCTGCCTGCCCGTCTCCACTCCCGTGTAACTGTCACCAGAAAGGCAGGCTTAGGGTGGCGAGCACTCTCCTTGGTGGAAGGAGGGTGGGAACTTGGGACTGAGCCCACCTGCACAGAGTTATGTCAAAGCTGAAAACCAAAGCTAAAGACCTGGTCAGTGACTGGGCAGGGTCGCTAGGACTTGAAAACACTCTGCTCTGGCCTGGTGTGACGACTCCTACGTGCCCAGTATGGGCTCAAAGCAGTTGTTTTTATGGTAGGAATTCTTGCCCCAGTTAAAGACCATCCAGACTGGTCCCTCTACCGAAAGCTGTGAGGCCGGGCTGGTTTCCATAGATGCTGCCCGCATGCTCCGTGCTCCCTTTCATTGGATCCCTGGCCCTACCAGGAGGTGGTAAGTTTCAGAGACACAGTGCAAGCAGGTGCCCCAAAAATGTGGGGCGGAGCCAGGCAGGGGCTAATGCCAGGGAATGGCATTGGGTGTGACTTTGGAACTAGGGATGGAGGGAGCGGCACCTTCGGGGACATTCCAGAAAATCTATCTGGGGAAAAAGGGCAAGTGTGTACAAACAGGTGGGGCCCAAGGAAGCAATCTGGCGTATAGAGCTTGAGCCTGCTGGCTGCGAGTCAGGAGATCCTGCAGCCCAAGGTGACAGGCAGAGGGGCCCAGAGGACAGGCTTGTCTCTCACAGGTGTCGGTAGGGAGTAGGGGCAGGGAGGGAGGTGCTGGCACCTGGTCATATACCAGGCTTCAGTGTTCTGACGGCAGCAAGGGAGGAGAGATTAGTTCTGAGACCTCCTGGCCCTGAGGCCTGGGCCCTGATCCCCTGCAGGGCAGGCCTCCTGTGGTCTCAGGACAGGCCTGGGAAGCCTTCTAAACCACAGGATTCATTCCAAACCCCTGAGATGGAATTAGGGTTGACCACTACCAAAATGAAAGTCAGTAGGAAAATAAAATTTATGACAATAAGGTTCAATTGACATCATTAAAGGACACAGCCCTTGAGTGGAGTCAGGCATAAACCTTTCCAGGGAACTTCTGACGAAGTCCGGAGGGCCACGGTGAGTCCTGACCTCAGGTCCACATGCTTCCCGGGGAGGAAAGGACCTGCACCCGCTCTGCTGGGCGCTCCCGAGACACAGCTTCTGGTCACGGTGATGGCCAGGAAGGAAAGACCTGGCTGCTCAGCTCTCCCAGGGTCACCCAGTCTTGTGTGGACAGGAAGGGTCGAGCTGGGGGAAGGGAGGAAGCCGGTCACCAGCTCTGCCCCTCTGAGGTTGCTGTGCCAGGGCTGGGCCACCAGCAGGCCCCAACCCTCTTCTCTGTTGGGTTTACCTTTGTCAAAGTATAATTTTCAAAATATTAAAACATGTCTCATGCAAAACAGGTATCAATTTTATCCTCAATTTATGAGGAAACCTGCAAGATGGTGAAGCTCATTCAGAGAACATTAGAAGAGGGATAGAACCAAGATGGCTGTGTAGGTAAACGTGGTACCCACCGGCTCCCACAACCACATCAAAACTACAACGAAAATACAAAACAACCATCATTCAGAACCACCTGAAATCTGGCTGAATGGAAGTCCTACAACTAGAGAAGTAAAGAAGAAAGCACATTGAGACTGGTGGGAGGGGCAGAGGTGTGAAACGGGCTGGCCTGACACCCATCTGTGGCCCCAGGCAGTGGCTGACTTTGCACCTCCTGGGAGGCCCAGAGCCAGTGCACCCAGTGGACAGCTTCAGACCACACCAGATTACAACTCTACACATCCATCCATGAGTGATACACTCAAGGGGAAGATTCAGTGAGCATCAAAGCCCCACTGAAGCAAGTCCTGCTCCATAGGGTGTCTCCTGCATAGCAGTTCTTCCACTATAGTTGCAGCTGGTCCTCACAATTGGCCTGGGGGTCAATTGCTCCCAATGGCACTAACAGCAATCAAGGCTCAACTGCAACAAGACAGTGCATACATCCCACACCAGGGGGCACCTAGAGTGTGCAGCTCAGGTGACTGGGCAGGCTGAGCCACTGGGACCTACAGGACACCTGCTACACAAAGCACTCTACCAATTCCAGGAGACAGAACAGCTTTAACTAATACATAGAAACAAACACAAGGTAGCAGCCAAAATACGGAGACAAAAAACCATGTCACAAATGAAAGAACCGAAGAAATCTCCAGAAAAAGAACTCAATGAAATGGAAGCAAGCAAACTACTAGATACAGAGTTCAAAACAATGGTTGTACAGATGCTCAAGGATCTTAATGTGCACTTCAAGGGACTTAGTGAGAATTTCAAAGAAATTAGTGAGAACATCAAAGACATAAAAAAAGGACCAGTCAGGAATGAAGGGTACACTAACAGAAATGAAGAATAACTTACAGGGAATCAACGGTAGAGGAGAGGATGCTGATAATCAAATCAACAATTTGGAATATGAGGAAGCAAAAAACATCCAATCACAAGAGCCAAAATAATAATAATAATAATAATAATAATAATAATAATAAAATATGAAGATAGTGTAAGGAGCCTCTGGAACAACTTCAAGTTACCAGCATTCAAATCATGGGGTGCCAGAAGGAGAAGAGAGAAAGCAGGAGATTAAACACCGATTTAAAGAAATAATGACAGAAAACTTCCCCTACCTGGTGAAAGAAATTGATTTACCAGGAAGTGCAGAGAGTCCAAAACAAGAGGAACCCAAAGAGGCCCACACCAAGACACATCATAATTAAAATGCCAAGGGTTAAAGACAAAGAGAGAATCTTAAAGCAGCAAGAGAAAGGGAGTGCCCATACGACTGTCAGCTGATATCTCAACAGAAACTTTGCAGGCCAGAAGGGAGTGATGAATAGCAAGGAGATGAATAGCAAGGACCTACAACCAAGATTACTCTACCTAGCAAAGCTCTCATTTAGAATTGAAGGTCAGATAAAGAGCTTCCCAGACATCACCACCAAACCAGTATTACATAAAATGTTGAAGAGTATTCTAGAAGAAGAAGAAGAAGAAGAAGAAGAAGAAGAAGAAGAAGAAGAAGAAGAAGAAATATGAACAATAAAATGGCAATAAATACATATCCATGAACAATTGAATCTAAAAATAAACAAAAAAAGAAATCTAATGAACAAAATAAACTGACGAATAAAATAGAACCAGAGGCATGGAAACGTGGAACAGACTGACAAATCTCAGAGGGAATGAGGGGGGAGAGGGTAAGAGGGGGGAGAGGTTAACCAAGGAACTTACATGCACATATGCGTCACCTACGGACACAGCCAATAGGGTGGTGAAGGCCCAGGGCAGGGTGGCAACCGGGTGGAGGGGGCCGTGGGGGATAAAAGAAAGACATTTGTAATACTCTCAACAATAAAGTTTTTTTTGTTTTTTTTTAAAGAGCATTCGAAGAACTGGTTATTTAGAGGCAATTGAAAAAACCAAGGTTAGAATAAAATGGCTAAATTAGATACCTAACCGATGACTGCTTACTGGGCAATGAAATCATGGCTACATTCTTTTCTTTTCTTTTCTTTTTTTAAAATATATTTTATTGATTTTTTTACAGAGAGGAAGGGAGAGGGATAGAGAGTTAGAGACATTGATGAGAGAGAAACTTCGATCAGCTGCCTGCTGCACACCCCCTAGTGCGGATGTGCCCGCAACCCCCTTGACCCGAATGGAACCTGGGACCCTTCAGTCCGCAGGCCGACGCTCTATCCACTGAGCCAAACCAGCCAGGGCCATGGCTACACTCTTCACTGGGTGGGAAGGCAGCACCTTCCCCAGAGGCTGCGGGGGTTTCACATCCCCGACGCGGGCCTGCGGGATGGGCGGGCTGGTCCTCTCCCCGGGAACCCGGGTTTTCTCCTTGGCCATCTGCGGGTTCGGTAACTTTCCTTGTATCTTCTTCCAGGTGCGCACCAGGGGCTCCATAAAGAGGCGCCCCCCTTCGAGGCGGTTCCGCAAGTCGCAGTCGGAGTTCGGGGAGCTGGGCGATTTCCGGGCGCCGGAGCCGGCCCAGGAGAACGGGGCCCAGGAGGACGCCGGGGACCAGGCGTTCCCGCCCCAGAGCCCGGCCCCCGGCTCCCCTCCGCCCGGCGAGGAGGCGGGAAAAGACGGGAGCCGGACCCCGGGGTCCCCCGAGAGGCCCCCTCTGAGGAGGACGCCCAGCAGGACGGACCCGCAGGAGGGGGGAGGCCCGGGG